GTCTGCAATCGCTCGTTTGTTTAGGTGAACCTTCATTGCAGAGCTGCTAAAACTCTCACAGCAACTCGGTGGGAACTGAATGTAAACTCTGCATGCCGTGCTGTGGCCAACAGCAGTCTTGCACCTGCACTCAGTCTGGCTGAGACCCCCTCCGAAGACTTCTTGACAGTTTCGACTGCGACCCATGTCGTAGGGATTTCGGAAGAACCTTGCTTGGCAAGCATGAGCACCACCTAATCGCAGAGCCAGCAGCGGCATGCTGCTGTCACTAGGAATCGCATGCATATGCATGCATGTCAAATTGACATTGCAGCAGATAGACTCGCCATTATATCTGCTTTCTCGCCGTCTCATCATGTTGATTTGGAAATCGATCGTGGTTTGATTTGTCAACACCTCGTCCGGGCACCAGTCAAGGGCACGCAAGCAGAACCCACATGGCATATACATCCACAGTCTAGTGAGTCTGTGACCAGAAAGGTATGAAATCCTCCAAGAAAGCAAACCGCTGCCAGAATCGATGCACATATCCTTGGATGACAAGCCCACGGCAGGCACACTTGTTGGCCATGCAATTGCAGTTCGCTCGAAGTCTCAAATGGACACATCAATGTCGCAAACGTATGCCAGGGCTCATGAAGGAAGTGAGAATGCATTGGCGAAAGACTCGTGTGCCCTGCCGAGCCCAAGTGAAGATTACGTCATAGAAAAAGGTCCCGAACACCTGGGGCAGTTGGTGAGCTCAAAAGCTCTGGATGATCTGCTAGAACGATGCCATCGAGTGCAGACCAAGCACGCAGACGATGAAGAGGCAAGCCATGGCCAAGAATAACAGAAAGAGGCAGAAGTATCTGTAGTTCCCAAAACCTGGAGTTTCAGGGACCAAAGCAAAACGCAACAACGGGTATACCTGCGAGCCAGGCAGTCTGAAAAGCATGATAGTGGCTGCATGCCAAGATACCAACGCAATTATTTATCCACCTTGGTTGATCATATGCCCACCATGTTGAGAGCCGCTCGTGGCGGATCACTGGTGCTGCGCTTGAATGCCATGGCACGGACAGTGATGGTCCATCTTCAGGACGCACACCCCGCAAATGCTGCAGTGGTGTGCTCGCGGTGGCTTCAAGCGAGCACATTTGGGGCATTTCCTGCAGAGCAATTTTAGATTTACTCAACCAATGCAATGCTCGGCCACAGAAACAGCCTCGGCACGACTTCAGGATTCTCGGAGGATTCCATCAATGACACTTTGGCCTGCGCAGTACAAGCTTCCGTGTTGCTCGCAGCGTGCTTTCAGGCTGAGGCTGTAGAGATTTGACATCCCAAGCGCCACAGAAACATCGTACGTTAAGCCCAAGAACAAATTCCGAGAGATGCATTGCCCCTCTGCAGTAGGACAGACGGTCAAACATGGTCCGCAGCATCCTGCTCAAATTCTGGTGGCAGGCCCGCTGACGTAAACACGGCCTCCCGTGCAGACAAAAGTGTTCAGACATCAACGATCAGCTACAGGGCACAAAATGAGAAAATGCAGCAGCATTCCACAGTGGCACCTTGAAGTAATTGTACAACCTCCAAGCTTGCGCATGCACCCGTATCTGTGGAATTACGTGGATTGTTTAAGTCTAAGTCTCGGCATGCATGAGACCAGCGAAGGCTCGAACTGAGGCAAGCAACGCATTGGCAAGCAGAAACACGCCCAGGAAGGACAAAAGCGAGCTTCCAATAAATCCGGCTCTTTCTTGAAGGATTGGCCGCCCGTGCCAAAAGTAGGTGTATGTCACAAAGCCTTCGGGGCAGCCGATCGTACTAGCAGTTTGACATGCAGCATGAATTTCACACAGCTCCGGCCTTTCAAGGACAGGGCCATGACCACCAAACACGGGCCAAGGACGCGCATTCCGATGTGAAAGAGACTGGCATCGAACAAATCAAATGCAAAGCAGACGACAGGAAGCCAATCCCGCCTTTGGCCCGCGCGAGTGACGCTGTCCAAAGAGCGAGCCATGTCGCGCCATGCCTTTGTCCCTACGTGCTAATCCTCTGTAATGTGAAGCTCCTGTGGTTGCTGGCCGCGTAACTTCAACCACGGATGAAACGGCCGAAATCAACAGAGCCGTCTTGCAAATGAGTGGCTCTTCGGAAGGCCAAACCAGCAACACTTCGAGAATGCTCTCGATCACTGCCGGAGTCATCAGGGCTCGTCTCTTTGCAAGCCTCCTTCAAGAATCACATCGATCACAGTAGATGTCAAGTCCTTGAAGCTTGACGCACGGCACTGAGGTGCACGCTGTTGCGCCGGCAACTTTTCTTCTAGCGTCGCCCCCGGCTACCATCGCTCCAACTAAGAAAGCTCGTTCACAACGGTTGTCCAATGATATCTAAGGCCTTGTATCGCGTTGCATTGTTCACATTCCAAGGCACCTTTCTCCTGTCGTGACTAGCTCAAAGTCTGGATTCTAGGTCCAGGCTGAACCGAAATTGCCATCAACATCGCAAAGATAGCCATTGCCACCAGCTTTACTCTGTGCTTAGGTAACTGGACATGTGCGATCTCGGAAAACCTCTTGGACTCGGCTCCTAGCGCGAAGCACATGGATCAGCACGTTCTTCCTGTTGGCACTGAAAACCTCATCTGCGAGATCTGTGAGATGCAAACGTGTGTCACAACTTCAGCCAGTCAAAAACACAAGTGAAATCCCACACCAGCCTTGCATGTAATGCAAACGATAGATGGATGGGAGGATGATGGAAGATAGCTGGGTGCAGTTCAATTTCGAAAGAGAGGCGGCCGGCAAGACCATTCAAGCGCACCCACCTTCATACTGAACTGTTAAGCCGTGTCAGCCACGTTGCAGTGGCCAACGCGCGTGACTGTATCCCTTTAGTGTCGGCTGGATGCCATATGCTGGTAGGAAATATCTACATTATACATGTATATACATGTATACACAATAGACACATACATTTATGCGCAGGTATAGGCAGTCTCGGTCCCTTACGTTGTTAGCTACCGAAAGTTTGTTGTTTTAGATGTTTTAGATTTTAGAGAGGCTTGCAGCTCTCAGATGGCAGAGTCAGTATAGGCTTCTGTCTCACACCGGCCGAGGCCGAGGCAGCGAGCCCGAATCACAGTGCAGAGGCACCAGAGGCACAGAAAAAAAAGAAGGCTTTACAACACGTTCGCATACATTCGCAGTTTGCAAAGTCCTGACACACTCAAGCACCAAGCTCTGCCTCATCAGCCGGACCGGCATCCCGGCATAGAGCGTAGAGTCGTAGAGATCCCTTCATTGGTCCTTCCCTCTTCTGAAGGGGCGCCCAAAAACCGGCTTACTCTGTGCACAGCAAACGCCAGCAATAGCCCGGGCAGCAACAACACCAAAAATCACCAAAAGCCGCAGCAGGAGCAGCAGCTTCAGCAAAATACAGCGCATCTCAAGACAACTATTGCGCGCGTTCGGCACAAATGTCATGAACATCGCCTGTCAGAGTAGAAAACCCACCACGGTTCTACCCTTTCACCTTAGCTTGCATGGGATAGTAGCAAGTTATGCTTTTGCCATATCGGAGCTCTCCGACTTAGGAAGCTTTGCACCGGTATGTGGGCGACACCCGGATTGCTTGTCGGCGTCTGAAAGATCCAGAGCTTCGCTCTCCTAATCCTGCCTCTTCAACCACAACCTCTTTGCCCGAACACGAAATCTAGAAACCTTGAACCCCGTGCAAAAAATTGTGGATGCATTTTCGTTGTCAAAGTTGTGTAATGCATATAGACCTAGGCTCACATATAACCATGGCCATGAATACGAGCCACACTCGCAAGGAGATTCTGAGGATTCCACTGGCGGTAAGGCTTCGGGCTTCTCACCACCGCGCAGTTTCTCAACTAATGGCTCGCCTCAGTTCAGCGGCACACTGCCCAGCAATGCACGTGACCAAGCCGTAACACGGTAAGATGGGACTGTGCCATCCACAGACCAATCGTGGTGTTGGGCCGCAAAAATGCCTCCAAGACAAAGCTAGCAGAAACACCCAGACCAAACCCCGGCAGACGATGCAAACGACGAGATGAAGCCTAGCACACGTGCAAGAGAAACATGGCATTGCGACTGGATAAGGAAATCGAGAGGGGCAGCAAAGGTCGGAGCGTGGGAGACTGTCGGCTTCGGACATTCAAGGGTCAACGACTCAACAGGTCAACGGTGACCAGGTCTGAGCACATGCTTTCACTCAAGCCTTGCACTAATTGCGGCCTCTCCACCAGATAATTTCCCGCGGCGGAAATGAGGAACAAGCTGTCGATCATCACCTCGACTGTCACTGTCGCAGTTCAGACTACCCTGCTAAGTAAGGCCCAAGACTGAGAATAGAGCACGGTGAGTTCCACAAGCGCATCGGAGAAGCACGCTCCGGGCTCAAATGGCGCTACCGTCGACAGAAGTACCTTACACAAGACCTAGCAACTTGGTCAGGGGAGCAGCTGGGGTATAAGATCCATGAGATGGCACCGCATCATGCTGATGCTTGTGTCGTGGATGCTCGAACTTAGAACGCTGCAGGAACAACCAGGACCATGTTTCGACGAGTTACTGACGTGCATAGCAAAAGGCCACTAACGCCTCACAGCATCGCGATTGCGGGTCGGCTGCAGCAGTCTCATTCTTCCTTTTCCAAGGGTGTAATGGTACTCCACCTCTCTAAAATTTCCCAGCTTGGTCCAGCTGCTTTAGATCATATCAGTGTCAGAAGCAGTGACGAAGACAAGCCCGACACGGTTGAGAAGCACAAACACCAAACGAGGTGCTCTATCCGGAATTGCCGGAATGAACAATGACTCGCTCTCTCGTTTACTGGATTGTTCCGGAACCACCTACATTAACATCTCATGCTCTTGCTTCTCAGTCAGAAACGGAACCAACTCAAGGATGCCACAACACAAAGGTATGCGACTGATGTCCACCACCGGTATCGGAGTATGTGAGGAACTCGTGCACTCATTGCTGCATCTCCTTTTCCAAGAGACCTGGATGGCCCCACGTCATGTAGGTCCTGAGGGCACATGACCGAAGCGCCAAGCCTCACATGTCATCATTCTGCAACACCCCGCCCTCCATCACTCCTTGAAGCGTTGATCTTGTCTCGCCGGTTGGATAGCTCCGAGGCCAATGGGCCAAACTCCAAACAGTTGCAGACATCCGGCATGGGTGGCCTGTGACAGCTAACATGCATAACATGCTCAAACAAGACCGAGGCACTTGAATAATACTTCAACTTTCCTCCTCATCAGCAAGTATCGAGGCAGCTGAGGCACGGCTCTTCGAACGCAAGTCGATCTTGTGTTGCAACGTTCGCAGCGGCTATGCTCAGCGGAATTGCTTCTGGAGCCAGCTGCACATTGCCTGGAACATCCTGCTTGTAGAGACCAGCACTCGCATCAGCAGTCCACATGCAATAGATTTGCTCCGGCGATACATGGTGAACGACCCAAGATCGCCGCGTCGCATGCGACCAGAGTCCAGGATTGCAGCTCGGCTCCATAGCGAAGACTCTGTACGAGTCCCGATCGTCCAAGGTGAGCATAGGCAAGCCCAACTTGTCATCCCGAAGATATCGCAAGTGGACCCCAAAACATGGATCATCTCCATAGACCAGTGGAAGCTTGCCAGCAAAGCTCAGTCGAGCAAGCGCTAGAACCACATCTGCCGACAACACGCGCAATAAACCTCTTGCATATGGAGGGAAGACTTCAAATGGGTAGATGTCAGCAGGATTATAGAAAGCATGATCCTCATCCTTGGGCACAGGACTGAAGTAGTCAAAGTATCCCCAAATGTATCCATACGAAGGCCGACTCTGCAGCAAGAATAGGAGAGGGTCTGGACGAAAGTAGATGTCGTCATCGGCTTTGACAATGAAGCGAGCTAACACATTCTGGGCACACCACTCCAAAAACATCAGTCCTTTCACCGAGTTCCACTTGTATCCCTCTTGAACATCAAGCAGAATCACGTCCCTGTGCTTTGCCATTTCAGCCTGCAGAGGTACAAAGCGTGGACTCAGTCTGGGCCTTCCCAAGAAGAACTTAAGCTCCAGGCCATGCGTGCGGACTGCCTGCGCCCAAGTGTCCCGGATGGCATCTCGCTTTGGAGAGTTATCCTTTGCCGAATACACTCCAACGAACACCAACGGCGGGAGCCCATCTTCGTGGGATTTCGGGTCATCCTGGCCAGAGGGGCCGGACAGAAGGGAGTGGACAAGAAAGGTCGAATGACATCTTGACATTCAAGACAACATGAAGCAACAACTAGCCAAAATGCGACTGTCCTCTCGCCTGGTCTGCTTGTAGGCGCACAAATGGCAGGTGACTGCTTTCAACGACTCGTTGAATCCACGGCTGTACCTGTAAAGCAGCTGGTCCTGAGAGCAATGCTAAAGAAGAGAGGGGGCGCGCGAGAGAGAGCGACACAGAGAAAGCATGCAAGAGCTACAGCTAGAGCGGAGCGAGGGGGGGACGGGGGAAGCCGAGAGGGGAGGGCGCACCAGTCGCATAGTAGATGACCTACAAAGGACCTAAATTGTAAAGTAAAGGTAGTACGAAGTGAAGTGAACGCACGTAGCGCATGCTTGATTTGTAATTCAGCTCTTTTGCCCAGTCCACGGTTGACTCTAGGATTTAACAACTAACAAGCAAGTCCAATGTGAGAAGAGAACGAAGTGAGCGTGCTGGCTTTGTTTTTGCTTAAATTAAAACAAACGCAATGGAATGTAGTGCGTGTTGCTCGATTCTGCGTAGGTCCTGGACGAGACGGTGCTGCTGCCAAAGCGAAGCTATATCGTAGTTGATCCCGGGTAGGAAAGACAGCAGCCCCTCCACACGGAAAGAGACCGGGTCCCACGGCACGACAATGCGGGGCAGCATCGCAACTATGTGCGAGAAGCCATTGAACAATGGTATGGTCCCCCAACCGATGCAATGAACAAATGCCTGTGACACCGTCCCGTTGTCGTCGTCGACGATCAGAGAAAAGCGGTATGGTACAAATGCCTGCTCGTACGTCACTGCCATTCCATCATCAAAAAAAGTGTGGTCCGGCAAAACCGCAGCCGCCTGATGAGCAATTGTGCGAGTCTGCACATCAGCCCATGCTTTCGAATTCTTACGTGGCAGCAACACTGATATCAGTAGTTCTTTGCCAGCTAGAATGGAATCGAGCTGTTCGTTATCCAGGCGGGGCATCGGCAGAATTCTCTCGAGAAAGGCCAGGCGACCCTTCCGTCCAGCAAAAGGTACCCGCTTCAGCCCATCAGTCAAAACGAAGTCCTGTGAAAGAACTGCCGAATCCAGTGCATCTGTATCCGCACCCTCTGCGCTAGCTTCTCGCTCCAGACTAAACAGCTCATGCGAAATCCAGGAGACTTCGCATGTCGAGTCTTGATCTGGCCCAGAAGGACCAAAACGAAGCCTGTGTCCGCTGGTGCTCGCGGAATCCTTGACGAGTACTTGGACAGGCACCGGACAGTCATCGGCAGCGGTCTGTCCAAGGGCGGCACGAATGCAAACATGGAGGCATGTTACTAGTAGTTGCAGTTGGCAGAGCAGCATTGCTGGACACGGGCATCGTCATCATCTGAGAAAGTGTCCGGCCACAGCTTCCACTCGTTCAGCTTTCAAGTGGGCAGTCTCAATCCATGTTCCGGAAGCGCTTTCAGCTGCTGGCCAACACAGTCTGAGACGAGCCAAACTTCCTGCGATATTTTGCCCAAATGCGCGGCAAAACTTCAAGGTGTGGGGTCAGGGGGTTACATGAAGATTTAACCCAGACTGGAACGCGGCGGGCTGGCCAAGGGCAAATTCCACCGGAAGCATCGGAAAGGGTCCAGGAATGGGGCAATGGCAAGCTGCAGCTATGGGGAAGCCCAACAATGCTTCAAGACAAAGATGATAAAGAAGAATTCCACGTGCGGTGTGTCCAACCGTGTCTTGGCGTGGAATGCAGCAAGCCGGGGCCCGGGAGATCCCGGGAAAAAATATTCGGGCTGGTGCATTCTCGCGGGCTGCTTTTCGGGGAGGGGTCTTACAGAGTTTGTGCCAGTGCTGGATGCTGCGGAAGAATGGAGGAGCCTCGCAGTTTGTCCTCACACTCTCGGATTCTGTGGAAACGCTGAATTAGAATGGGAAGCTCTTTTGCGGAGCACCTCTTTTTGTTGCCGCGTCATGCTTGGCCAGCTCAGGGCTGGCTGATTGCCTGAGGAGAGCCGATGCTTTCAGCGCAACGCTTCAGGGCGGCTAGGCGCTCAGAGCAACTCGATCTGCTTCAGCAGCGTCGTCCTTACACGGGCCAGGTCGCGTCATCATGTCCGCGAGGAAAGCAACCACAGAATTCCTACCTCTAAAAGAATTGGAAGGTCACCCGATACACCCTATCACTCACACTCTCCCTCATACACTGACACGGACGCTACGGACCCGCACACCCGCACTAAGAAAATCTTGGGCAATCTCTACCAAGGGCCAGACCCCCTGTCGATCCGGTCTAGACCGCGAGATCGCAAGGTCGCAGTCGCTGTCCCAGGCTGTTGCAGCTTCAATCTGCAGCGAAGAACTTCTGGAACGCTCACGCGCTGCGCCACACCGTGATGTACCGTGCCTCCAATGCCTCCACAGGCGAGTGCCCATCCCAGGCCGCCAGCGGGTGCGGAGAGTCGAGGAGCCGGGGGTCAGCGGCCGCCACGCAGAGCCCTGCGGCTCTGCTGGGCCTCGAGGCCTCGGCGACCTTAAGTTTAGGAGACCTGGAGGAAACCACTGCTCTCGTACCCTTGTGAACTGATGCTTTAACTGGCTTAGGGCAGTATAGGGTTTGGGCCCAAGTTTCGCACTAGCAACATTTCTCCTTGTGATTCTGGGTGCTTTGCTTTCTCGCTTTTCTCAGCAGGCGCATTTAGGGCGGAGCCCCCTCGCAGGGTGGTACCTGGTACTAGCATGGAATCCTTTAAAGTCTTTTTTGCTTCGCTTTTAGTTTAGAGTTTAGGGCATAAGGCGAAGTTTCAAGTCTCCCCCACTTCACTTCACTTCACTGGGGTCAAGCTCCGAAGAGCCCGCTCCTGGGCGCCCCCCTTCCCCCATCTTCGGTGGAAAAGGGAGAGACTCTCTCTCTCTCTCTCTACCGGGCTTGAGGGCGAGGGCAGCGTCCGGGCCCCGACCCTCGTGCGCGACGTACACCCGCGTTTCGCGGGATGTCCTTGAGAGAGACTCTCTCTCTCTCTCTCTCTCTCTCTCTCTCTCTCTCTCTCTCTCTCTCCCTATCGCTCTCTCGTTCTTTCTGCAGCATCCGTCGGTGTTTGCTCTCGGCCCTCGCTTTCTGTCGACTTTCCCTGTCCCCGTCCCTCCGTCTCCGGCATCCAACCTGAATCAAAAGAACTACATCCGGCAAATTGCTTGATTGACTTGGCGGTTTCCCTGCGCGTATTAGACTCCGTGTTCCTGTCAACCATGCCTATTGAAGTTGCCGAGCATGCTGGGTTACTGGCTGCGATTCATGTAGCGCTCAGCTGAGCATGCCAGGTCCAAACCTCTTCAAAAACCTGGCGCACCGGCACGCTTGCAATCGCAATGTCGCACCAAAGCCAGAGAGAGGTTTCTTCGAAGCCTGGCTCTTGCAGAATCGCTCATTCGGACCGTGACCCGAACTTCTCCTGTGACCTGCCCAGCGCGATAATGACACTCGGAGCCGGAAGGACGAAATCAACCGAATAAAAAGGACGCAGCTCGGCCTCGTCAGTGCTCACTGATGCATCTGCAGCCTTGCACGCTTGCATCTCGACATCGTTGGCACCGAAAGACTGTGAAATTGCTGGCGACTTGCACGGCCATGGGACTTCGCACGGCACTTGAAAAGAAGAACACCCCCGGCCCCGTGAACAAACGTCGGCCACTAGGTCGCCGGCTGAGTCGCTGTGGAGGAATGCCCAAAGATCAGAAGCCTGACGCACATGTTGGGTCTCTCTCACCGTCCTCGGCAAAACATGCAACAGCCGGCTTTTAGCCCGTCAACCACTTGAGTCAATAGCTACGCCCAGACCTGCCAGCTCACTCTTTGTCAATCTATCAGCGGCATACAGCATGATGAAGACGCAGGATTCAAACCTGGTTCTTGGACAGATCTTGTGGCATCCGAACCTTGAGAGGCAGAATCCGCTTGAGGCTTCTGTCTCCAACAATCAAGGCAACCAAGACCACTTGTGGCTTCCTGAGTCCGCAGCAGTGCACCATCCACTTTGTGGAACCTTCGCAGAGACACAGCGTGTGCTGGCGTTAGCCAGAGCTGCAGCTGACTTCCAGCCTGAACGGCGTTCGAGGACTGGAAACCAGGCCTTCGAAAAGTGCCAAATCCCTCGTGACGGGAACTCCCACGAGGAAATCGAGGACCCGGCACAGCTTTGATTGCCAAGTCCTGTGGCTTTTGGCGACTGCAGCTAAATGTTATTCGTCCTGCACCCTATCGGCAAAAGCCTCCATCAGTTTCTGCAAACCTTCCAAGAACTGGGGGAAACCGGAGCCTTCAGAAGTCATATCTGCCCGGCAGCGTGCACACCGAAGACTCTACTCACGACTGCTACTGCAGCGCCTGTCAGCGCGCTCACTGTGTAAACCGGCGTTGGGTCCTCAAGAACTTACTTTCTCGCAGCTCTTGTGATCAATGCACCGGCCTTCTGTTGGTGCAGATAATGGAGGTGGCGAACCTGGAGGCAGTTCGAGGGCTGGAACATCTCATGTCGACGTCCCTTCGCCTCCTTCTGCATGACTAAGTCTGCTTTGTTCCAAACCTGTGTGGAGGTGCTTCAGTAGTCAGTGCCTGTGCAAGCTTGACTCCAAGCCAAAACTGTCCTCGTGCCTCGACGACCCTCTCCATGTCTATCTTCGCATCTGCCAGCACCTCACGCACCAATTCAGCCTGCTCCTCCAGATGTGGGCATATCCTCCATTCATCTACCGACGCAGCAGCATCAATACAGCATCACACCATCTGTCCTCTCGAGCAGGATGTGCAATGTCCCGCACGTGCAGAACCACATCTGCTTCATGCATCTCCTGAATGTTTTGATCTGAGCCTGCTCTCGATCCTAGCGTGGAAACACTGATGAAGCATGTGTAACAGACTGTGTCAGCCGTCCTGCACGGTCGCCTGTACGGCTTCACAGACATTAATCGGCAAGCCCTGGCAGCGGCTTAGGAAGGTTCGCATGAACGCATGAGCTGCAGGTCTGTGACACAGACATGCCTGAATCAAGCCGACGGAGTCCAACACGTAGCACTCCCGGCCAGATGGCCTTTGCATCGCGTTCCATTATGCAAGCGTCGCAATTGACGACGGCTGTTTTCTGGCGACTACCTCCGCAAAGCACAGAGCCTGAGAGTCTAACAGCACGCAGCGGCGGGATGCCACATCCAGAGTAACGAAAACACCGTCCTGCACTTCGTCCAGAGCCCTGGATACGCAAAGGCTATTGCGGCGCCTCCACGAGGAGATCGGAGCTCGTGAGACGATTGACGATCTGAGCACAATGAGCTACTTGTTGATCTTGCTGCCACTGGCAGCACTTGCACAAAACTCTTTGAAAAAATAGGCCCTCGCTGCGCTCTTTCCAACGTTTGTATACCCCACCAGACCTCGCGATCAACGGCATCTATGTCGTCCATGACTTCCTGCATGCCTTTGATGCAGCCTGCAGTGTCCTGGCACGATCTGCAAGATGAGCTTTCCGCGCCCGTAAGGCCAGAGCCAATCGTTTGTCTCTCGTCACGCGAACGCTGCTGACCTGTCACAGAGGCACAAAAGACACTCGAAACTACTGGAAGTCAAGACTACACGAACCGAGGCTGCGGCGGCGGCTACCTCGCGCCGATTGCAGTCGCGCAATCTCCTGAAGTTGTGCGACCCGGCGACGTACGCGGCCGAACATTGCTGATGAAAGCACAGGAACCGCCAGACTCGGGCTTTGTAAGCGATCCTGTCTTTGGAATGTGGTCTTTAGGGTGAGATGTTGAACAACACGCGCCCACTTTCGCTCGTCGCTGAGCGAAGCTACTGCGTGATGTCCGTGCGCGACGAAAACTTTGGCACTGGGCGTCACGCAGTGCTCATGCAGTCTACGATGCTCTCAGTCTGCTGGACACGCCCAGGGCAGTCATGCACGGCTTGGGCTCTTCCGTTGAAGAGACGAACCAATGGAAAATGAGGAATCATGGCAGTTACTATATCACCTTCAGGGCTTGAAGCACACCTCGGATGTCCGTCAGGAGCTTCGCGTCCTGTCACTCCGAAGATGCCATTTCCAAACATCTCCGGGTGAAGCAACTGCCGTCAATGCATGGCCTCAGAAGGATACCGGACAGGTTGAGGAAACGGCCAAGGCAGTTCAAATTCTGGCTTCTCCGTGGCCTGCAAGCACGCGTGGCGCAAACGAATCTGGCAGATGAAGTCATCCGAGGCTTGATCGTCACCGGCCGAGTATGCACCGTCGAGTATTGATTCGAATCCCGTCGCTGTGCTGGGCGACGACGAGAGGAGACGAAGACTAAGGTTCTCACTAGGTCGTATGCTCTTTCGCGGCAGGGTGGTCTAGTGACGGTTCTGGCGTCTGGCCACTCTACAGAAGGGCCCACACCGAACATGCTGTTGCCTTGAATCTCGAAGACTTTCCAAGCCACCAGAATAGTTTGAAATTCCCACCACAAACCCAACACATAAAGAATAACATGCTGGGTCATTCCGAACAGATAATGTCACACCCAGATTCTGGACTTTGATTTTTGTGTTCTCTTGTTTCTTCGGCAGTGCGGCAAGTTTCCCTCCAGAGCCAGGTCGAAAGCGTGAAGCTTGGTGCATACTCGCCAGTTGGTGCTATGAACTACTACCAACAAAGCATGTGCCGACAAGAGAGCAACAGAACCCAAAGGAATGGAGCAAGGATGATTGGTGCCGCCTTCTTGTTAACGCTCAAGTGGTGGCAGAACCCCCAACCGAAGAGTGTCTGGATCCCCGACCACGACACATGTTCAGCTTCTATTTTCAGACACGATGGTGTTATGCGAGTTCTTGCATGTTGGAGGATGGTTGGGAGTGCGTTGGTTGCTGGCCTTTTCGTTGGCTCCGAGGGCAGGTAGGGGTAGCCGCAATGGTCAGTGGTAGCAACCTTATAGACTTCCAGAATCTTCAAGGAAGATCCATGTAATCACCAAGTTTTTACACGAAACCGATGATGCTGAAGTTCCGCCCGGCAGATGCCTCGACGCCCTCTTCCAGCACCTCGAAGGCTCTTTGGATATCACTCCGGCCGCCTCCTCGGAGGTGGGCCAAGGTAGGTGCTGAGAGGAAGAGGAAGCATCGTGGAGTCTCCGGCCTATGGGTCCTCCAAAGTGCCCCGGCAGAATCCTTGCCCGGAAGACTCGACCCAGCGAAATTTCTCACGCTGCATCAAGAAAGCTTTCAGGCACCAGCTGCTGGACGTCCCACTGGCACAACCTTTCTGACCACTCCTTCGCCACTCCGACGCTTTTTCCGTGTTTCGTGGGCTTGGCTCTCGGACTGGCGGCCTTCACTTCCTGCCGAAGACGACCGCCATAGACCAGCGAGTAGCAAACCGGCCTGGACAACACAAAGAGCCGTCGATGAGCCAAGGAAAGCTCTAGTAGATAAGGCCACAACCCAACGATCCACTTCCCGGCGATGGCTCGGAAGGCCTGCTTCTATAGGGCCGTTGAACTGCCACAGAGATGCAACATGACGGCCTGTGTTGGATCGACGATACTTCTACCATCGGGGCCTCGGGACAACTACAGCCGAGTGTTCTGCTCATGTCATGCTTCCTGCACAAGCGCGTCTAAGGCCCCTGGGAGATTATGACAGATGGTCGTGCACGGGACGTTCACCGTCGTTGCTGTGGGCAACTTGTGCCACGGCTTCTACTCAAGCATAAACTATATACGGTATACCGGTATACGTTCAAGTTCAATATCGTTTAATGACAGTGCAGGGAGCCCTGCGAGGAATTTTGGGGATGCCCGCAGGAACACAGGTGGCTCGCATGCTAGAGCAATTCCGGAATCCAACAGAGAGAAAAATGCAGCCGCTGCCATCCTATGGAAACCTGCCAATCTGTCTAAGTTCGGAGCCGAAGTAGAGGGAAAGCAAAGCATCTCGCTGCCAGCCCTTCCTGCTCCCAAGCTTGGCTGCACTGGGGTACAAGTAGAAAGTCACAGGCGACGGTGAAAGATTTCCGTCGACTAAGCTTGGTCGGTGTGCAGGCATGGGCCAAGGCTTAACAGCTCTGCATTGCACAGGGCGAGGTGCAACTTTATGATGTCCTCAGTACTCCCGATTAATGCAGACAGGCGCCTCAGGAGTGCCTCCTCTGAAGGCTGCGGGCCGGAGCTTTCTTCCTGCCGTCAAGTCAAGTTGAACCCGTCCACCATTGTCTGACGGCCCAGGCCCAGTGGTCCACTCGTCCTTTATGGCCTGCTTGATTGCCTCACCGGATCCCCGCCTCGCCGGTCATCGGTGCAATTTTCGCCATCGAGCGCGGCTGATTTCACCGAGTGTCCAGTTCACGAGGGCGACCAAGTCGAGGATGAAGTTCTCCGCTGTTTTGCCGAGGTCTGCAGCCGGTTAAGCCAGGGCTTCTCAACCAAACAAGCAGGAACTGAGAGTGAGAGATATGCCTCGAAGCTCGTTCTTGTCTAAGACCTCTGGGGGCTCCTTCGGCAACGTTTGTTTCAGCTGTCTTCAGCTGATTCATGTTGTTCAGCTAAACGCTTGCCTCGGGCACATAGACCAGCGCGTCCGTGCAAATCAGTGTTTTAGACCTCGCGCAAATCGTGATCTAAAAGCCTCGTACAAACATCACTGCTCTCGCCTCTTGTGGAAGAAAGCGCATTCGCATGCGCTGTATCCAAATCCGAGGCGATCCTGTCACGAGGCAGTGCAAGCCAGCTGCTTTCTGCGCTGCAGGCTAAATCAGCTATCCAACGTCCTTGGGGTTGAAGAGTTGCTGCTCAATTTCTGCAGACCATGGTGCTGCGGTATCTGCGTCCTGCAAACGTGAGTCCGGCATTTCTGGGAGGTGCATGGGGCCTACTGATGTCTCTCACTGCATCTCCGGGACCTTCAGATCACCCGACGAGAAAATGCCATAGAAAGCAGTTGGAAGGTCCAATGGCCAAGACCACTGCTGTGGAACTGTGTAGACCTGCAACGGCATAGACGGCCATGACAGACACAGGCAGCCATACCCAGGCACTCTGCACGCGCAGGCCACATTGAGCCGCCCAGGCGCTTTCGCATCTGGCCAGCGTCGAGCAAAAGGCGCCACGAAGATCTTGTGCTCGTATCTCGGTGACCACAGCTTTCGTCAGAGAAGCCAAGGCCAAGAAAGGCTGGAGTTGTCAAAGCGGGTGTCGGGATGCGAAGTTCGACCAATTAAAATATCCTGCTGCATCAGCAACTATGCCGGGCTTCAAGCAATTAGTGTTGCCATTTCGCCATCTTTCTGCTTTTGACGAATACGCTTCGTAGATTCGTAGGAAGATTTCTTGTCTTGCCAAGTCCCGCTTGGGCTGCCGAGTCTGCCGGACAAAAGTAGCACATGCACAGCCCTCTGAAGTTTGTCGAGGCTACGAACAGCAGACCCTGAGGACATTCAAGATTTTAAAAACATCCCCCCTGGAGCCGTGGAACACCATGGAGTTGTTGTCCGGCCACGAGGAAGCTGAAACTCTCACGCCAGAACAAACTCGAAGCATCTCGAAGCTTGCCACGCGAGCCAAGGTCTTCGACCCCTACTTCAGCTGCTTGCTTCCAATCTTATCGCAAGCTGCAGTTGGCAGTCCCTGTCATGTCATGGCCGAACGTTCTTACATGTTTGCACCCTGCGGCTGAAACTCGTACCCGCCACACTTTCATGTTCACCCCAAGCCCCCAGCTGCGCACTGCCCAGGACAATGTACTTCACCGGCAGGCCAAGTTCCCTGGTTGGAGCTCTGCTCGTCATCACATGCGTTGAACAACAAAATTTCGGTGAGACTCGGACCGGAGAAGAGCTTCACACTCCGATGTTGGGGCGATTGGGTTGTGGATCCACCTTACTTCTCGCCACTGGCATCTTGGTCAGCAGGACCGGAGACTTGAGCTTGCGGCAGCCCCCCGTCCTGCAACTTGATGGCAGTCATCCGCACCTGAAGCGCTGTCGGCAGTCCACATTGCTGGGACCCAGTCCGAAAGCACACTGGAAACCATGCACCAAAGCACCGGAAGCGTGACAAGGGCCCCGCATTGACAGCTATGTTAGCAAGCTTCTGCTCCTGCTCGAAGGTCCACATGCCGTCTCCAATCTGCTTGCGCACCTCGACTTGCACAGAAATTCATTGGCCCCTGTTGCCACTCTGCTCTTGCCTTCTGTGCCCCTCACAGGACCTTCTGAGTTTCGCTCTGTGCGCCGAGAGAATATAGGACCCAGCGGAAACGGAAATCCGGTGACCTCAGACTCACTTAATGTGCAGCACGACGCCCGATAAATCATGCATGTTCCATGCGTGTATCACGTTTTCCATAGAAATGGCTTCATGATAAAGAAGCCGAACATGCCGACGACGATGAAGGCGACAACCCAAAGATGACGACCATGGTGATGGTTGTTGGTGATGATGGTGATGATGAGGACAATAATCGTCGGTCGCAGTCGTAGTGATTGTGATGGCGAGTACACTGATTACACTCCACTGCAGAAGCTCTGTGGTACTGAAATATCTAGAAGGCGGTGTGTTCGAAGATCACCAGGTTTGCGAATATGAACCTGATAAAGACCATGGTGAGGCTGATGGTCATGACGATGATCATGAGGATGCGCATGGCTAGGCTGTGGGTGGG